ATCAACCAAAAGTATTTTTTATTACCTAAATATAAGACTAAGAATTTTCCTTTGCCTGTTAACGTCAAAATGTTATGTTTCAGATCGAAAAAACTGCATTTGATCGTTGTTTGAAGTCTCAGCTTTAGAAGTACTAGGTTGATCAGTACAAAACACGCGATGATTATTGCCACTACCACGAGTTTTGTAACTCGATGGTTTCTCGCTTGAAACATGATAATTATGTCCTCGATTAAATGAACCTCTGGTTCTACCACGAGAAGGATAAAAAGATCTTCCACGTGAATATCCTCTGGTATAATTATTACCAACTTTACTTTGATGATCCCCTGGATGATAATACCCTCGTTGTCCACGTGACTGATGATTATAAAATTGCCATTGGCGAGAATTATAAGCATGCGACTTACCTCTACCCCGACGCGAAAACTGCATGACATCACCGCTTTCCTGAGTCGATGACGCTGTTAACTCTTCATCCTTGGCCGCCTGGATCGCGTCCTTTAAGTTATCATAGTTACGCGCAGCAATAATTGTACTGAGTCGGGAGTCACTCAACCCATCCGCGAATCGTTTAATAGCAATTCTTTCATTTAAGGGTTTTAGTACAGCATAATCCTGTGGGTTACCATTTGCCTGCGATATTGTCAGATTTGTGAATAATTTTTCAATTTCTGTTCCGTACTGGTCAATTGTACGCCAGCCTTGGGTAGTATTTTGTAACCGCGATTGTATTGCAGTAAATGATTTCTTAGGTAAAAGGGTGGAACGTAAATCTCTGACAAGATCGTTTGCAGATGTATAACTATTGGACATTCGTAATTTAGCATTTTCCGTCAGCCTACTCTTCAAAACAAATGTTATAAGTAACTTTTTCCCTGCTTCTGATAACATGTCTGCATACATTTCTATGGAATCAATGGTACCCTTGATGTTATTCTCATTATTACTGCTCATCACAGGAATCAAGTTACACGCTGTTTTTAAATCAAACTCCATGATTATATCTATATTTGGGATTGTGTTACAAAAATCACTCTCACTACTAGTACTACTACTACTATCTTTCCTACTTTCAGTACATAATTCAGTAATTTGCAAATAACATGCCTTTATTTCGTCCCTTAATAAAGTTATACGTGTCAATATTTGAGGTTTTATTCCTTCCTTATTAGACAAGAATTGAATTATTTTCTCACTTCTCTTAAATATAGTATCTGTTTCTAACAATTTATTTTTTATAACATTACCTTTAAATCTTGATTGTCCTTTTTTAATTAAATATTTCTTAATAATCGTAAGGCTATCTAAGCATTGAAGTAACTCATCTTCCATTCCTATTAAAATAATCTAATAATATTAAAATACATACCAAATCCTCATGGTGAGTTACCGTAGTAGGGGTCACAGGACGTAACTTGATATAGGAGTGCAATCGCGCACCATACAAAGAAAGATAACGCAAACAATGTATTATATTATAATTTTTTAATGCTAATTTTAATTTTTAGTTTAGAGTCATTAATAAAGTTCATTATTTACTTTTTATTTATATTATGTCGCACTCTATCTACCACGGTCGGTCGCACTTTTGCATTTTAAAACAATAGAACCCGCACTACACAAAACACTTCATTTTCTTCTACTTCATCGGTATATTGACTTCTTGCTCGTCTCCTCGATTACCTCTAGGACGGTTGAATGATCGTCGAAGGTTATTTTGTAAAATCTGCGTCCGGATCCATGAGTGGTGACATTTCTTGTATTGCTTGTAGATGAAATATATAGCGCCAAGACCCAAAATTGTACAAATTATCAGTAAGACAATGCTTATCGTTGACATGTGCAACTTAATTTCTTCAACATGGGCAGAATTTGAACCCGCAGCATTTTGGTTCAGGAAAAATATCTCCTTTTCCACGTTTGAACGACACATTATTTTCCACTGGTTTTGTCTTAATTGTTTCGCCGATAATAATTGCTCAGTCCGATAGCGTTATTCTACACCGAGAGTGACACTGCACCGCGCTCTCCAACTATGGCAAGGGTCGCCATGAAGGGAGTATGTTTTAATGAAACGTCTGTTCCCGATCGATTACCTTTTATTACTACTCATACAAATGCGATA